GAAGTGGGGCTGGGTGCGGTGGCCCATCGCTGAAATCCTAGCACTTTGGGAAGCCAAGGCAGGTGGATCACTTGAGGTCAGGAGTTCAAGACCAGCCTGGCCAACATTGGGAAACTCTGTCTCTACTAAAAATACAAAAATTAGCCAGGTGTGGTGGCTCATGTCTGTAATCCCAGCTACTCGGGAGGCTGTGCTGGGAGAATCACTTGAGCCCAGGAGGCGGACGTGGCAGTAAGCTGAGATCATGTCACTGCATTCCAGCCTGGGCGACAGAGTGAAACTCTGTCTCAAACAAAAAAAAAAAAAGGAAAAGGGTGAAATGGGTGAGGGACAGAATGATTTTTGCTGTATTTTGGAACTAAATGTTTGAAACTGTAACTGATATAATTATGGCACATATAATCCACAACGTGTGTACATGTACCTTGTTTAGGAGACCAAGATAGAAAATCCAAAGTTTAATCTGCAGACAGTCATCTAAGTTCAAAGTGCTCACAGTTTTTAACAAGCAATGCTGTCATTCTATCGTCAGCAAAACACATGTTCTCCACTAAATAACTCCCCTTCTTAATTGTAGAAAATAAACATCTAACACCATACACAGTTTTAGTCTCATGAGCATTTCAGCAATTATTTAGCTGCAACAATGGGAGAGACCATAGGAGCCAGGTTCTCCAAAACTTGTCTTACTAGCACAATGGGGTTACAAGTTTGTGAATGAAGTTCATAAAAAAAAAAAAAAACAACAACAACAGCAACCGTTTGGGGATTCGCGAATAAGAAACCATAGCACAAGAATTACTTTAATTAAAATCAGTATTGTACAACCCATCACTGTGTTACATTTCAATGAAATGGTATACAACAATAAGCATTCACTTGCATCTTTTAATGCATTTAATTCAATAAGCAGATTTTGAGCATTCATCAGATGCTCAGCTTGTGGGCCTTCTGAGATTAACAATGTCATTAAGGTGTTTGTTTCATAAGTCTGCTCATCCAGTAAGTATGAGATCCTAGAATTCTTAGGATTAAAAAAAAAAATCTTTATCTATATTTTTATTTTCATTGGCCAAAAAGTATCCTGAAATTAATATCACTGGATCAGTCTCATTGATCCAAGGTGAAACACCTCCTTTAATTTAGGTACAGTTGATTAAAGAGAGAACAGGAAGAAAATAGGAAGCTCTATATTCATAAAAATACTGTTTTCCAAAGTATTCTTAATACAACTACTTGAAGCTTAGAATTCATTTTCCTCTGGAAATGTTACTTACATGGGAACAGCTAACACTTTAAGAAGAGTGTGTTTGATGATCTTGGGCACCTATATCTTATTTATTTTCTATTGGCAATACTCATAGGAGTATTGAGTATTTTTGCACATGCAAATGTACTCTGATCATGTTTTGTCTGGGAAAAAAAAATAGTCAACTGAAGTAGTTATAAGTGTTTCTTTTCTTTACTTCTCTTTAAAGGCACACAGTCAGAGTACAGAATACAGACTTGTGCCCCGAAGTTTTGCAGTAGCTTACATTTCAGCATGAAATTCAGTATCTGACGGTATATTATTTTCTCATTCCCATCAACAGTTTTGCATGAACTGCATTACACATAGCCGAGGATTCGGGGAAAGAGGTGTATAGATTAAATCCCATGGCCATGAACATTTTGCTTCAAAGTAAAATGCAAAAATAAAAGTAAAAATAATTACTTTTTACCTGAAGTCACTTCAGTGTGAGTCTATTAAAATAAAGATCTTTGAAAGAATTTCCTTTTCAAAAACATTAATTTGAAATAAATGCGCCATTTTGAAATAGGCTAATGTGCACAAGCTCTTTCTTGGCCATATTATTTTCAATGTATGACTTTTTCATTTCAAAGGAAAGGAGCTCTTTTGCAAATGCTCTTTTCTAAAATGTAGAAGAACAATTTCCGTTGTAAAGTAGGTTGTGCAGAGCCTCTGTGATCTTACCTAAATTATTAATTTGGTTAATCAGTGCATTCCCTTCACAGTTATTCTAAAGGGAGACGAGTCCCACTCCAGGTCCAAAATTTTACACAATATTAATTAGCAAATTTTTATTTTAAAAATGAAAACAGTATCAAATCCAGTCAATGCCCAGTTGTCTTATACAATATATATGATGCAAAAATTGGTATATTTCATTATAGTTTGCACAAAGGAATCTGGTCTCTATTTTTTCTGCATATGCGATCTGCATTTTATAACTGAGCAAGCCTCCTTTCCAAACCCACTAGAAATAATTTCTTAAGATGCAGAATTAGGACACTTGCCTCAAATCCTTTGATAGGTTTTGGTTCATTTCTTGGGAGAAGGGTTCTGGTTGTTTCTTTTCTAATCAAAGCTACTCTGCTAAATTGCTTTCCAAGCAGACCTCAGAATATTAGAAAAGACTGGTTCTGGCCTTGTTGCAATTTGAATATTAACAGTCATAGTTTTACAGCCCTTCCATTTTGAGTAATGCACTGCAACTTCCACAATTCAGCCGTCATTTTTTTCCCTTCCTCAGCCGGCCCTGGCCCTTAGAATGTTTGCGTGGTGTCACCGTGAATGTGCTCGGAGCAGAGTTATATGGCATCATTTTGAGAAACATTGCGTTAATAACCAGAGTTCAAGGGCAAAGGATATAAACGGAGCAAATTACAAGTCTGAACAGATATATAGCTTTTGCTAAAAGGGACAAGAGCTGCTACTTTATTTACTGGGCACTGGTGCACTTGTGGAAGGTACCAGAACGCAAAAAGGCATTTTTAAAGGACCACATCACAGCCTGAGAAAACAGCACACATTTTCAAACTAGAAAGAAAGCAAGTGCAAGGATCAACGATTCTGTTTCTTAATGAGAGAATATGATTTGCTGTCAGGTACCTTAAGTTTCCAGTGTAATTTCACAGATGATAATATCATTTTGTGCGCCACAGTGGAAGGAAAACAGAGGCTTGTTGGAAACCAAATTCTCTAGATCCTTTCAAACTGCATCTTTGTTCAATTTGTCATGGACTTCTTGCTGCACATATTGTAACCATTTTAACCAGGGTTATCACACTAGTTCAAAATTAATACCATGAAAGAGTGATTTTTGAAAATGCTGTATTTATTTTTATATATCAACTTCAGAGCTATTTCAATGATTGAAGAGAAACCAAAATTCAAAAGAGAGAAAAAAGTTTTTAAAGAAACCAAAGGACTTCATTAATAACTAAAGAAAATGAGTATCAAAAAATAATTCCCACCTGCTACATTACCAAATATTTTTCCTAATAGTTCCAATAACATGGAGCATAGTTTTAAAATGTGATGCATTTCACAAGGTATACATATATCAAAACATCATATTGTGTACCTTGAATATATACAATTTTTATTCATCAATTTTACCTGGATAAAGCTGAAAAAAATGTGATACAATATTTTCCTACTGGCAGGATGGAACTGTACAATTTTTTTGTAAGGTAGCTTGAAAATGATTATAAAAGCACTATCAAAATATTCATAATGCAGGCCCCATTTATTTCATTTAAATAAGTTTCTTTGAAATCAAGAATGGAAAACAATGGAAATTTTGCCTCAAGATGTTCCTTACTGTGTTATTTACTCGAGTGAAACCCAAAAGCAACCTAAGTATCCAACATTGGGAAAATAGTTGGGCAAATCATCTATCCAGTTAATGAAAGATTATGCAGTTATTATTAAAATTGGTTAATATGGATATCTCTAATAATATTAAAAAGTGCTTTTGACACAATGCTATGTGAATCACTATATAATCCCATGATTTGAATGTACTTTTATAAGTATATAAGCATACATATAAATAATTCTAGTAAGAACCATGCATATATTTAATTTACATGTGCATTTTTTTATATGCTGTTCCTGTTAGCCTGATGAGATTATTAGTTTCCTTTTATCATTTCTTTTTTCTAAACTTACTGTTATGCTCATCTGGTATTTGAAAAAGAAACACACTTAAGCTTTCTCTCTCCACCCCCTTTCTCTTTCCACTCTTCAATCAGTTATATAAAATATACCTCGGTGACATGTTTTCATCTCATTTATTACTATTTTAAACATGGCTTTCACTTTCTTCATGGTAGTGGTCAGGGCAGAGGAGGATGGTGGAATTTTAAAGTACAGTTAAACAGAAAAACATTTTTCTCATAAAAAAAATTGTTGTTGTTTTTTTTTTTTATAAACTGTGTTGCTCTCAGAAGAAAACGAATCAGCACGTGCAGGACTGACTCCTTGACAGGAGATGCATTACCTTCAGCGTTGCGGCTTGCGCAGGAGGAATGCTTGCAGAGTGGACCTGTCTGTCCTTCAGCTGCCAAAGAAGAGCCCGGATGACCCAGCAGCTCTCTATCGGCCCCATTTCTATGGTGGTTAACGACTTACTCTCTCCTGCTATCTGTCTGCCCGCTTCGACCCTCACTCTCATCCTAACGAGTTTTTTAAAAGAATGTCTCTTAAATAGAATTGCCTAAAACAATGTGTTGTTATCCTTTTGCAAGGACAAACAAAATATATTCAAATTGCTCATGACTTTTAAACATGTAAAAGCTAGATAAATCATAAAAATATCGCATATTCCAATGTGAAAATACATTTATCTTGAGCACATTCTATTTTTTCTTTTAGAAAAAATAAAAAGTTTACTAGCGTTGACTAGCTAGTAAACTAGATTATCTTACATTTTTATCCTGTGTAGAATATCTAAAGTATATTGCCCACGCCCCTCCTTTTTAACCTATTTTCAGTGGCTTTAATATGGTCTGAGATAAGGGGATGCCAACTGTTGAAGTCTGATTTCCTCTTGTTTCTCAGATACTGATAGGGTATCCTTCACATAAATGACAAATAAGACTTCTGAACTGTTTGCAATTTGGGAAGGGGAGGCTCGCGGGTGGTTCCGTTGGTGAAACGACTTGTCAAACATCAGTCCGAAATTATTCAGGGGTTCTTCGCCCTCCACTTTCCCATAGCGCGTTTTCCTTTCTCCCACAGAGATAGAACAGAAACCAATCTTCAAAATGCAAACATTCCCAGCCCCGTGCTTTTGTGCAGGCATCTCGCTGTATGCGCTGGGCACGGAGCGGCGCGCGCGCGCTCGCCTTTCCCTCGGCGGCCCCCCGCGGCTCGGACCCGGGACTGCAGACAGGCCATCCATCATTCGCCCTCCTCCCGCGAGCTTGGCTGCCGCGGCCAATCCGGCGGCAGGTGGGGCCGCACCTGCAGGACAGCCCGCCACTTCCCTCCGCTCTCTCCGCCGCGCCCGGCGTGTTAGCGATGCCCTTGTGAGCCACTGCATTCTCCAAGGCCAGAACGAGACAGGTACGCGGGTGACCGGGACCGTGTGTGCTCTAAGTCCGCGGCTGGCAGCCAGGGGGGCGGCTGGAACCTGGGAGGACACGCTGTCCCCGAATGCACACGTGTGCTGTGGATGGGTGTGTCATCTGTGTGTGGACACACAAGCTGTCCCTGGGTTTAGCCTCTTAAAAAGTTGAAGAATGAAGATGCTTACCTTTGGAAGGGGAGTGTAACTGAGAACACGTTTTAGGGATAGAATGTGTTGCCTCTGGTCTGTTTCTTGGGCGAACCCTTGATGGAGTTTGCAAGCCACGCCATCTGAATTCCGCGTGTCCCAAACATACTACAGGCAGTATTCCCCCAAAGCCTAAGTGAGAATATTAACTCAACACTAAAGATTAAATAGTCTCCATAGGATACAAAAATTACCCCAAACAAAAAGTTAACCCAGCCCTCCAGGGCCATATAAAGATTGTAACAACTTAAAGAAAAAATAGGACCTCAAACCACAGAGAAGCTTTCATTTTCCAAATAGGCAAATTATTTGAGGTGCAATCAGCTTGCTTTTGTGGGGGCTAAAGGGGGTATAGAGTTGCTTGGCTGTTCCATGGAGGCAGCTAGATAAGTCCTGCTAACATGTTACGGATTTTGTAAGTGGGCTCGATAACTCCCTTTGGTTTAAAAGATCCAAAACATATATTTTATCATGTAATTTGAGAACAAATGAGAACAAGCAGAATGCCTGCCTCCCCTGGTATGTTCCAGGAGTGTGTCTATGCAGATGTCAATTATGTAAGAGCAAGGCCTTGGAAAACAACAGCCCTGCAGGTGGCTTCAAGGCTTCAAGCTTTTTCAGAACAGCATATTTCTTAAAGAAAAATACAAAATGAAAATAACAGCAACCACAGCTGTAAGCACCCTCCAACCTCCTGCCCCTGTCTTGCTTTTGAATCATAAATCATGAAAAAGAGGCAGACAATGACTTCAGTTTTCCTGCCTTAAACAACTGGAACCGATAATGCCAACAAGGAAGAGAAATAAACAAATGAGCTGTATTGCTGCAGAAGAAGGAGAGCTGGACTTAGAAACCTGGAGGTTCCTCATCTCTAAGGACCTCCCATCCCTAAAAAGGGTCTCTCCCACTAAAGTTAGTGGTTCTCAAGCCTGTCTTCATATGAGATTCATATAGGCTTTTGTTTGGTTTTAAGAAATACAAATGCCAAAATTAATACTCTGGTTTGATTGGTCTGGGGTGTGATGCAGGCATAAGTACTTGGGGTTAGGGAAATTTTGGGAAAACTTTCCAGTCAGTGGCATGCACAGCCATCCAGCTACACATTCCAATTCTGTTCTGTTTCATGGGATACATGAGATATTGTTTGATTCTATTTCATGAGATATATGAATGGGATTCATGGGATAGTATTGTGTTCTGTTTCACGGGATACAGTTATCCCCCCAGCCCACCGTTGCTTCCCCTCTCCACTCAAGCATATGCACAGATCCCACATTGAGTAAACAAGATCTCTCTTTTTTTTCCTTATCCATCACTCACCTTTATTGGCATTTTAGTCTATATTTGCATTTTAGTCTATTCATTCTGGTTGTTAAAATGTATCACTCCTCATTTGAACACCTTGATAGCAGTTTGGGATTTTTGTTACTTGCTATTGATGCATTTATATTTATATGATATTCTTTAAAATACCGACTTTGGGGGAATAGAAAGCAAGTGATAGACGTGCTGTGAAATTCTGAAGTCTGAAATGTTTTTATCAGAACCTGGGAGCCCAGCATGGTGGAGAAGTTTCCCCTTCAGAGCGTGGTCTTTGTTATCCCCTTCAGGACCACCTGAGCCACTGAGGCTCACCCCGCAGAAGGCTGGCTGCACATTTTGTATGAGCAGGACATTCTTCCTGTTCACCAAAGTGGAACCGAAGTTTCTCTTTCCCTTGGATTTTCTCACTCTCCATGGCCAGCAGCGCCACATTTCTGGATTATGTTGTACGCGTTACCTTGAGAGATAGATGATCTGTTCTTTGATTAGACACTCTGACCTTTTACGGGTGTTGATCATTGATCATGATCTAGGCTGGATAGAAAGCTCTTGACTCTGAAAAGTTACTCTGCTGCTGACACCACAGGGAAATGCAATTTCTGAGTCCTGACAGTCACTGCAGCAGGACTCCCCCTCAATTAGGATTTCTCTTGTTATTATTTTACTTTTTTTTTAAGCAAGCTGCAGCCTCTGCTGTCTAGCTCTAGCTTTTAGTTACAGCAATCAATTTTTCAGAATAACTGGCTATAATTGTTGGCTTGGATATTGAGCTTTCATGGGGCTTAGACAGAGTGTTCCCGTGAAGGGTCTTCTCCATACCTAGCAGACAGATGGGTAATAATACCATACATTAATATCTCCACATTGGTTTATGTGTGTTTGACCACAGTGCAAGCATAATTATTTTTGCCCAGTAAAAGCTATTAGAGATCTATTTGGTAAGTTTTACGATCAATAGCTCCTGTGATATTTGTGTAGCAGCCACAGAATAATCAATTGAAGGTCATATAAAGTAAATTACCATCCTCCTATAATGATTCTTTTTTCTAAATGAAAATTGGGTTTTATTATTTCATCAGGAGTCTCTCACAATACATGCTCTGTCTGTTTGAGAAAGAGAGATATAAAAGTTGTGAGCCTGTTTTGAACATAGTATTAATATCCATTATGTGAATTTATGGTATTGGATTATTGAATTAGTGGATTCACACTGGAATTCCTTCAAAACCCTTTCTTATGTACTCAGCGACACACTTAATAACAGTCAAGAGCAAACGGATGCCTTTGCCGCATGGTGGAGTGAGTCACTTTGCAAAAGTCAATCTTGGTAGATGTCTCTTTAAAGCAAATTTAGAGTTGGTTAAATGTGTTATATTGACAGTGTGACTGACTGAGCTTCTCTCTGCAAACCCTTCTGGAGAGTGACTGGTGAACTAAGCAGGAGATGGAGTCAGGAATGCTGAATATTAATGCATAGTCCATGAGTAGCTCAAGGTGAAATGGGGGCAAGTGGTAGGTGAAGAGGAGAGAGGCCTGTTCACCTGCTCTCCAGCTAGGCCTCTTCCTCACACGAGATGCCTAACCTGAATTTCAAACTGGCAGTGCGAGCCAGAGTGATGGCTGTGCCTCTCTAAAAGATTGCAATTTGCCAACCGGAGGCATGCAATCCCCCAACTGTCTTAAAGGGACCCATTTTCAAAGTATAGCCTTTCTTTTTGTTGGTGCAATCAGTTGTGCACTGAAAAACTGCAGCCACAGTTGGATAACTGCAGGCACAACAGGCCACAAGAGGCCTCTTTGCTCCAAATTTTGTACCTGCAACTAATTGCACTTACAGAAAATGGGAGTGTGGTAGAAGCTTTTTTAAAAATTGGGGCCAGTAAATTCTCCATGGAGGAAATAGGCAAGGAAAGAGACAATTACTCACTTTCTTTAGGACAAAGGCAAATAGAGGCATCCTTTCCTTCACACACTTCATCTAGTTTGTAGAGCATGGTCTAGAAGCCAAATACTAGGTACCACAAATGCCGTGATCATCTGGGACATTGCCTGGGTCTCAGTGACATATTGCTATTGCACAAGAAATCATCTACTGAAAAGTAGCCAGAGAAGACATTAGTGAGTTTGAGACTATAACTCTGGTGACAAATTAATGAAGTGTTTTATACAAATAGCAGAGGGGATTTTCTTTCTCTTTAAATAGTTATTATTGTTACTTACCATTTGCTTTGCAGATAACTCATGAAGAAAGTAAGATGGTAGGGACTCTAGATCTTACTCAAAAGGTAAATCAGGAGGCTCTCTTCATTATACATATATTTATAAATATATAAGCTATGTATGTAATTACACATACATAAATATATAAATTATATATGGTATATCTGAATATGCACATATATACGCATATTACACATATTTTACAGGTATTCTTTTTTTTTGAGACAAAGTCTTGCTCTGTTGCCTAGGCTGGAGTGCAGTGGTGCAATCTCTGCTCACTGCAGCCTCCATCTTCTGGGTTCAAGTGATTCTCCTGCCTCATCCTCCTGAGTATTTGGGACTACAGGTGCACACCACTGTGCCCAGTTAATTTTTGTGTTTTGAGTAGAGACGGGGTTTCGCCATGTTGGCCAGGCTGGTCTTGAACTCCTGACCTCAGGTGATCTACCCACCTTGACCTCCCCAAGTGCTGAGATTAGAGGCTTGAGCAACCATGCCTGGCCCAATCTTGCCTTTTAATGGATGCATAAATATGACTTGGGTGACTGCCAAGTCCCGATGGCTGAATTCCCTGCCTAGAGGGGTTTGTGAAGTCATGTCTCACAGGGAACCCATCTTACCATCTATTCTGTGCTATTTGGTGATAAGCAAGGTGAGACTCAACTCAAAACTTTGTTTTCTACCTATTGCAGATGACCATAAATTAAGCTCTGGGAATTATAAGTAAAATAAAAAATAACATTTGTGTTTTGAGATACAGTTCTTACAGAAATAGTTTGAAATATAATTTTATCTCAATAACAAATTTAATCACCAAACAAAACAAGAAAGGGTTTTAATAGTTCTTATGGTTCCCAAGAAATTGATGACAGAGTAGTGTAACAGGAATTAAAAAGTGAAGAAGTCCAGACAGAAATATAGAGCAACAGAACAGAATAGAGAGCACAGAAATAAATCCATGTATTTGTGGTCAACTTGGCAAGGGTGTCAATAATACACAATAGGAAAAGTATTGTCTTTTCAACAAATAGTGTTGGGACAATTGGACATTCACATGCAAAAGAATGATACCTATATCTTATACCATATACAAACTTTAACTCAAAATGGGCTGAAAACCTAAACCTGTAAAACTCCTAGAAGAAGATGTAGGGGAAAATATCATGACATTGATCTTGAAAATGATTTCATAGATATGACACCAAAAGCACAAGCAACCAAAGCAAATATAGACAAATGGGAACAA